TGGAAAACTAGATATTACCTGTGTTGTTTAATTTTACGTGTCAACCTGGCTGGGCTAAGGGATGACAGACAGGTGGTGAAACATTATTTCTGGGTATGTGTGTGAGTATGTCTCTGGTAGACTGAGTAAAGAGTATGGGTGGGCATTACCTGATCCATTGAGGGCTTGAATAGAACAAAATCCTGGAGGAAGGGTGAATTCACTGATTCTGTTTGAGCTGAGACATGCATCTCCCATCTTTGGACATTGATGTTCCTGGTTCCTGACCTCTTGGAGTCAGAGTGGAACATATATCATTGGTCCCTCCTGATTCTCAGGCCTTTGGATTCGGACTGGTTTTCCTTGTTCTCACACAGACAGCTAATTATCAGACTTCTTAGCCTCCATAACATGTGGGCCAATTCCTGTAATAAATCCCCTCATATATATCTGTATATATCCTATTGATTCTGTTTCTCTGGAGAACCCTGACTAATCATTGTCATTTTCCCCAGGGGTCCACAAGTCTGGCAGGTCCTTCCTGTTTATCTTCCTAGGCAGGTAGCAGGGCCTCTCAGCAGCTGTCTTCTGCTGGCAGCGACTGTGGATGCTGTGCTGTCTGGAGACACCCTCTGGGATATTTGTCTGATGAGCCCTTCATTGGAAACTGTCACAAGGACATTGAGAAGTGAACAAGGCTTATTAGAGAGGTGATGGCTTCTATTTAATAGACAACTAGAAACCGTGATGAAAACAGAGAGAATCAACTAAAACAAAAGTTGAGGATGGTGAGAATTTCTTCCTGGTTCTATTCCCTCCGTGTAATTATTCTGAGTGCTTGCTTTATTGATGCAAGCAGGGGCTTAGGGCATTTCCTGTCTTGGTTGGAAATTTACTGGGAAGAACAAAATGTACAAAAGAAAACATGCTTCTAAGTGACTATTGACAATATCCATATTCATTACCCCCAGATTATGTTAATCAAAGACAGTTTTGGAAGCTCACTGTTGTTGTCTTTCCAAGATGAGCAATAAATGTGTGTTGTGCTTTCTCTAGCACTTTAATTCAAGTTTCTCAAAATACTTCACAGTTTTAACTAAAGAAGGCTTACAAGGCCTCTGGGAGAAGACAGTCAT